GCAATGCTTGCTATCGAAGGTAAGAGCAGTGCTGGGTACCGAGGGAAGGAACATGCTTGCGGCTGAAGGTGGCTACCTGAAAGTACCAAACATGGAGGCTTTTCTGAAGCACAGTTAAGAATTACTGCTGATATTTACATCATTTCAAGTGACAGCACACAGCAAATACCCTGGGTCCATGATCCCATTCTTAAGTTTTATTCAGGTGGGAAAAAAAAAAAAAAAAAAAGTGTCAAAGATACGGGACAAAAATAAATATGGTCTCCTTGGAATAAACTTTGGAAGCAAAGTGATGAGGGGGTAAAGAATATTTGTCTGGGGTTTATTATTTTTTGTTGCAGTAGTGTTCTCCTGGCTTTCCTGTGGCATCGCTCTGCTTTCAGTGCTGCAGAAAATGGAGGGGGTGACCCACAGAAGGGAGCCTCCTTCCTTCTGTTTTACAACAGTATTTCACTGGGCAAAAAAGGTCTCGTCGGTTTTGGTGGTAAAACACGACGTTTGCCAAGTAAATGTTTCATCACAAGCAACACCAGGATTAGTGCGGTCCTTTGCACAGATTTTCTCCCTTCTCTGAAAGAGTTTAGTCACCTTACCTGAATGAAAATTCATGGGGAGATTGACACACAGGATAAGTGAAACAATTGCATCCTTTCCATAGGGCTTTCAGGTGAATTGTACAGTAATCCTGGGAATGATTCATAATAAAAAATAAACATCCAGATAGCTTAAACCATTGCTTGCATTATTTTCTTATTTAAATATCTTAAGTGTTTTCTAATGCTGCACCGCTTATACCTCTCAGTCACAAATGCTGTCTTATAGTTCAAAGATGTTTACTTTAAAGTTAATCCTTTGGGCTCTGTAAAATGGACCTTTTGTCTAATCAATGCAAATTGATTTTGCTATTCTGTATTGACCTCTCAACCCTTTGACTGTCCATGGTAATTTCTTTCTTCACCTGATAAGGTACCTGATCCATAATAAATCAATTCTAATTAGTTTGGAGACTTCACAGGGAGCATAAGTTTGTAGGAAAAAAGCAGCAGGTAGTTTTTTCATATCTGATCATCTGTGGTTATATATTTTTGCATAAGGCTGTGTTCACCATATTCTTAGATAAACTTGATTCATAAATATATGCACTGCTTTCTGCAGAGACAAGCCAGATTAATTTGGAATCTTACTAATGAAATATTTAAACCATAAAATACACTAAAACCAGAGAGGAGCTAAGAGATACTGGATTTAAATCCAAAATGTCGATGTTTAATTGTCTCTTACATGTTTTACTGTCTTGGAACGTCCGAGCAGCAGCCTTTGAATGTCTGCCAGCCTATGCCATTCACACATGGGCTTGAACAAAAATGTGTCCTTTTTTTTAATTTCTTCTTGTAGGTTCAGAGAGGGATTCCAAAACCCAGGAAAATCCCCTTTTTTTTCCTCTTTTTCTTTTTTTTTTTTTCGTGCCACTGGTGGTATGGTAAACAGAGATTTAGGGAGAACACATAAGCGCTGGAGAATTTTGGTTATTTTTTGAGGTCTTTTATTTATACAACAAAGTCCACATTTAGCATTTTAACTCTCAATAAGATTATTAGTCTGCTAGGACTTTTAGCAGCTATCTGCTTTTACCTAAAAAAACATTAAAGGAGAAACTCTTCCAAGAAAATGCCTGCGAAAACTCAAAACACGTTTGTGACGCCTCGCCTCTCCGTGTGTGCATCAGCGCTGTATCCCTTTCTGTATCCAACACACGCTGGGGTGCAAAGACGCGCTTTTTGGGAAGCACCGGTAAAACCACACCGTTTATAATGTGATTCCTCCAAAGAAGCGTAGGTTGCCCAACAGCCCGGCACTGTCTGCTCCGAGGCCTTTTAGCCGATTGCTAATGAGTGCTTGGGCTCTAAGAAGTTGAAAAAACAGATTGCACTTTTACCAGCACCAGTTCCAAACCTGAAATACGTGAGCAGGAGAAAAACAAATATATATGTATAACAGGATGGGACCGGTTTGTTTGTCTAAAAGAAAGGCAGAAGGCACCAACCCAACCTGGAACTTAAAAAAAAACCTTTTTGAAAGGTGATAATTACTGTTTTGGTAAATTGCTGTAAGTCTTCCACGCGTGACTGCGCTGTTTAAAAATCTATCAACCAATTTACTTAGCTAGTTGATGGGGGGGGGGGGG